AAAACAAATCTATTTCCATACCTGAAGATTTCTGTGTGAACAGACGAAAGCTTGTAAAAAATTAAAAAAGACCTCATGGAAATGGAATTTATAAACAGGGATCATAACATAGATAGATATATAATATTAGTGGTAAATATACACATACATATGCAAAATATGTAGAAGTGGATGCGTATGGATGTATTTGTATATGTATATGTATACAAATTCTCTCACTTAAACCGTCTTTGACTCACCTCTCTAAAACTTCTCTCTGTTAAGTTTTAATCCCCCACCTTCTCCCATCTGTTTCCCCTCTCTTTAGCTCTAACATTCGTCCCACACTCTCATACTTACACTCTCTCTAAATTTTATTTTTTATTTCCGGAGTTGTTTTTTTTTTTTTTTTTTTTTTTTGAATTTGTAGGTCTGATGAATTGGATCGTATTTACAATTCCAATGGAATAAATTATGACCATGGAATATTAGTGTTTAAGCCTTTTTTATATATATATATATATATATATATATATATATATATATGAAGAAAAATATACGGAAAAACAAACAAAAATCCTAATATGCAATTATGCTGTTTTAATGTCTACTGGAAATACAAACCTGAATTTACATTTATAACATGGAAGACTTCAAGCTTATACGAAAATATAAGAATCTATTTTTCTCCGCGTATTCCTATTAGAACAGAAAGGATTTCTTAACGAACTGTTTATATGAGAAAATCGTTCAATCGAGCTTATCTAATATTTTGAAATCATCTTCGAATACGTTTTCACAACATGGCTCACGTGACGATGACGTGACCATATTAAAACGGAACGCTGATCTTATAAAAATTTCAGTTATCTGTTTGGATTAGTCTTGCTCTTGTGTCCATCGTCTTTTTCATGTTGAATTGAATATAGCCTAATGTTAATTATGTTTTATGAATATGTTCTGAAGATGGTCTACTAGACCGAAACGTCCGACGTTGACATTATATTAACATTAAAAAAGCATAATTGCATATTAGGATTTTTGTTTGTTTTTCCGTATATTTTTCCTCATACTGTGGGATCTATATCCATATTTGCTTTTATATATATATATATATATATATATATATATATATATATATATATATATATTCTGTATAATTTATTACGTGGTTGCTAATTTTTACATTGTAGCCTCTTATAATTATGACCATTCTGATAAGTCCAACGAATCAAAATACGTTATCTCAAACTCTCTCACAACTACAATTGATAAGGATTTATGTCATTTTATTATGTAATTTGTTACAAGTAATTCTCAAGTAATAAAAGACTTTACTGACACAAAACAAAATAATAATAAACGAAAACTTGAAGTTAGAATTTACTCTATCACCTGTAATAACTGCCACGAAGTATACATAGGTGAAACCTGGAGGAATTTAAATAAAAGTTTATATGAACAGAAAAGGGATCATTTACAAAACAACACATTCAGTGCATTAGATGCTCACCGTAATGAGTCTGACAATAATTTTGATTTAATTAAATGCTACTTTAAAGAGAAATCGATTTACTGAAACGAAAGTGTATAAAAAGTGTTTTAATCGCTAGATCATTCTCAGTGAATTTATCATATTTCGACGTGATGTAATGATTAGATAGTTTGTCTCGCTAAATCAGTTACGACTGAATAGTGAGTTCGATCCTCACTCGGTCCCCCATACTTCGGCCTTGCGCCATATCTAGCAACGCTTAGAAAATCATTTCGATACTACGTGGTGGTGTAATGGTTATTAAGCTTGTCTTGCGATATCATTTATCTCACTGGGCGCCCTATATTTTCGGCCTTGTGCAAATCCTAAACAATTCCCCCATATATATATATATATATATATATATATATATATATATACTTCTGTCAATTCTGATATGTAATGTAATAACTCTACAACGATTTGGCGGGAATAATGCGAAAGTGACATGCTTAATTGCATTTACACCTATTCACCTTTCCGTCTAAAATAATAGTATGCTCGGGGCAAAGTTTTTAACGTCAAGCTCTGAACTGGATGGACATAGCCAGAGAATGCGAATCCATATATTACCCAAGGGCAGTAATGTTAATTTACCATAAAAACACTCCTCGACAATTGAAACTGGTTCTGGCTCATAAATGTAGGGAGACGTGGATTTATGCCTCTGCTAAGTTTATTAGAACGGAGTAGATACAAAAAAAATGCTAACAGACTTAAGACTAACCCTGTTTCATATGCGTGAAAGGAGATATGGTTTCATGCCTTCTGCACATGCATAAATCAGTGAAAAGAAATCATAAACAGGCTCAGCCAAAATTCAAGTTGATTTTGTTTTCCGTGAATTCAGGGAGAAATGGCCTTTCCTATAGTTCTACCTGCTAACAGAGTATAAATAACCTCAACAAAACCAGATTCATGCCTTTCTCTAGGGAAATCGTGTTAAGTAAATATCTTCAACCAAAATTCAGCTTGAGTCAGTTTTTTTTTTTTTTTTTTGTAGCAGGGAAAAATGGATTCATGCCTTTCACAAGCACATTAACGCTAAAAGAAGAAAAAAATGCCAGAATTTATTTACCAATGATTTTATGCATGATTTTCACAAGTGAACTTATTTTCAGTACAAATTTTATCTCTATTATGAGTATAGGGAGAAATGGTTTCATGCTTTTCCTATGAACATTAAACAGCCTCAGTTGAAATTCAAAACAGATTTTTTAGAAATGAGTGTATAGACAAGTGGATTCATGACTTTTCAAGTGTATTAGTGTTAATCGAACATAAAAATGTACAGGGAAGTGAAATTTTGGAACAACATGGTGGGCCAAAACTAGATATAGCAATTTACCAAGCATAGGTTAGATGTGGCACAAGGCCGAAAGTATGGAGCACACAGGACTGAACTCACTACTCATTCTTAATTGTGCTGTCGAGACAATGTTGCTAACCATTACGCCTCGGGATGCTCACACTAAAATTAGGTATACACTATATATATATATATATATATATATATATATATATATATATATATATATATATATATATATATAAGAAAAAAGAAAAAATGGTGGTTCCAACGAGAGAAAAAGTTTGTATATTAAAAAAGAAGAGAAGAGAGGTGCCGCAAACGTTTATGGTTGTAATTTGTTTTTCTTAGAAAAAATATTATGCTTTATTTTCTATAATTTTACTACACGCGTTTCTGGTCTGGTGACCGTCTTCTGGTAAAAGCGGAGATTTCCACATTATTAAAAATAATTAATTTTTCCTTATGTTTTCAATGTTAAATATTCTCGATATGAGATAATTCTCTGTTTTGTGTTAGTAATCGAATGTCTTTCTTGGATATATATATATATATATATAAATATATATATATATATATATATATATATATATATATATATATATATATATACTTTTTCTGTTTGTTTAAAACTGTTTCATCTTTTTAAGTGATTGAATGGTCCTCCTTCAATCTTATATCATTCCTGAAACATCTCCAGAAAACTGTGATACACAGTGCGAAACAATTTCTGTAGACGTTTATCACATCAATATACACGTATATATATATATATATATATATATATATATATATATATACTGTAATATATAGCCTTGAAAATGACTAAATGTATAGCCGAAAGCGCACGGATAAAGAGAACAATTGGACAGTTTTTATATAATTTATCATCCGAAAAGAAAAAAAAATAATAGATCACATGAGAAATTGTATAAAAAAATAAATCAAAGCACCTTTTTTTGTCTTTCGTATTCAATGAAATGTATGAAAAAAGGATTGCTACCTAAATACATACACGCACGCGCGCACACACACACATAAATATATATATATATATATATATATATATATATATATATATATATATATATATGCAGAAATATACTCTTAAGATGTGGTATGTTTATGGGATAAAGTGCTCAATATCAGAGATAGATCGTATGTAAATATAAAAGTGAACATTCGTGGCCTGACAATTGCGTTTAGCATGAAACAGCTTGTCGCCTCTAAGCGTTGACTTCAATGTTCACTTTATATATATATATATATATATATATATATATATATATATATGTGTGTGTGTGTGTGTGGTCGACTCTCCCGTCGAAATTCGACGTATGAGGGTCAAGCAGATCGGTTTCAGGAAACCGACAGCCTGACAACGACACTTGAGATTTGATTACAGTGGTGAAGGTTATGTGCGGGAAACATCTACGCTTTTGAAGGGACGAATACAGAGACCTGGTGCACTACGTGCCGAAGGTTCCCATACGACACTCCGCAGATTTTGAATTCAGAGTTGTCCTTCTTCTAGACCAGTTGCCATTTAAGGCTATAGAACCCAGTCTGTCCTGCTAAAACCTATATATATATATATATATATATATATATATATATATATATATATATATATATATATATATATATATATATAACAATTCAACAATAACATTTTAAATGATTATTCCGGAGCATATGATTATCGACAAGAAATTTTAGAACCTGAAAATAAAAGAATATTTTTTTATTAAAAACTATTTTTATTTAATAAAAGTAAACAATGCAGGAATTTTTATTAACAAATTCAGTCAACATAATAGTGTTTCGAGTGATCCCTAGTGAGGGCGACAGTATGCCTCCATTCCTCTTCTCACAGAGCCTCAGGTTCAACACGGAGGCCTATATCAAGTGGCATGAGGAGGTAATGCTGTCTTGGGTCAAGAGGGTGGCTGCTGGAAGACACTATATCTAGCAAGAAGACTCTGAACCATGCCACACAAGTTCAAGATTAAAAAACATATTTTGATTGACTTTTCAACCATCTGATGAACATTCATGAACATTCTCAAATTTAAAATCTTCGGTAAACAGATGGTATCCTTCCTGTTGTATATAATCACGTACAACAAAGTACATCGTACATTTGCCTTGATAAAGTCCCTCAGAGATCGGCTATGTATGGTTTTACTCTCTTTCTATCTATCTATCTATCTATCTATCTATCTATCTATCTTCTGTATATATATATATATATATATATATATATATGGAACAGTATTAACAGAATAGATACATCTTTCTTTATATATATATATATATATATATATATATATATATATATGAAAACAGTTTCAACAGAATTGATACATCATTGTATTATATATATATATATATATATATACATAATGAAAAAGCTTAAACACTAAACAACCATGTAATATTAGTGTTTAAGCCTTTCTATTATATCCTTACTCTGTCCTGGACATTGAGTTTTACCTGGATTCTATCCTCTTGGAATTATCTTTTATACAAATATATATGTATGTATGAATATGTATTTATATATTTTAGATATATGATTGCATATGTATGTGAATATTAACCACTAATATTATCTATCTATCTATCTATCTATCTATCTATCTATATATATATATATATATATATATATATATATATATAGAGAGAGAGAGAGAGAGAGAGAGAGAGAGAGATAAACTATTTATATTGTTTGGAGTGTTGTCCTTATCTTTTTTGTCATATTCAGGACTATTCGGCCGTTGTGCGACCCAAAAGCACGTGGCCATGTTGATAAAATCGTTGAATAATTCAAAAAGTGATTTGGCCCAAAGAACTGTGATTTCAAAACCTGGCCACAGCAGAGAAGAATAAAATCTTGGTGAGTTGGGTTACAAAAGGGAATTAACTGAAACTGTGATTTCCAGAAAAGGCATGGCACGTGGAATTAGAACAATCTACCCCCGTGAACTAAACAATGGATTCGGTTAAAAAATTCTAACGTATATCACCTGAAGAAATCCGGAACGTAGAACAGAAACGTCGTGAATATGACAATAAAGATGAGGACAACAGTCCGAACAATGCTACGTAGTGCATATATATATATATATATATATATATATATATATATATATATATATAGCTTAGATAGGATTAAAACATCTTAGATAAGATTAAAAAAGCTTAGATAGGATTAAAAAACATGTATCAATATAGTGATTTTCTTTCATCTTTCAATGATAATGTTATTAAGCTTATCTGACTATATGAAAGGAATTTGCATAAAATAAATCGACAAACTTGTCTATATTATTTAATGAAACATTCATCAATAATATATATATATATATATATATATATATGCTACAGAAAGTCTAGTAAATTAGTCCTTTATGAACTACTAGAGAAACAGCGGTTTTTGGCCTGTGTTTTGCCAGATATCTTAGGCTGCATAACTCTTGGAATTTATTATATGCCAAGGTTATTTATATATATATATATGAGGTTAGTCTTGTCTGACACAAGGCAACATAGTTTTGAGATGTCAATGAAGTTCAAATTCAATGATGTTATAGCAGACTGTGAAACTAATGAACACATCCTTGTTCCACAGTAATAATGTTTCCATTTCTCATCTTTTCTTTTTTTCTCCCCACAACATTTCTCTTGAAAGCTTTTTACCTTTGCGCTCTGCCGTGTGAAAAACGGCGGCCTTTGTTCCACGGTAAAAGTCAGAAGGATTATCTTTGATGACATCTCTGAATTCAATGCAACGAAATTCCTGTTTTTTTTTTCTTTACTTCCTAAAGTTATTTCAATAAAAGACATCGAATTATTGATTTTGTTTAATAAAGTCAGTATACGAATTGTCGGTGTGTTCGCGTGTGGCTTAATACGAGGTCATTATCGTTTTCTTTGGCTTGTGAAAATAAACTGTTGTAACTCATAGATTTTAAAGACAAAAAGATTTTACAAGTCGATATCTATTCTCAATTTTTCGGAAATATACAATGCAAAAATCTTTTGTAAAAGGAAGTAATTTACATTTCATTTCTGTGTTTGCTGATGTCTGATGTTAGGTACAAATAGGATGAACCCAAAAAGATTTCATTTAAGAGTAATCATGGCACCTCTCAAGGGTACTAGTGGAAATAAAACAAATGAAATTATAATGAAAGGAATATTAGTCAAGAATGAATAATAGTTGGTAATGATGATATTACTACTAATAATACTACTAGTGGAACGAATGCAATTGATGATTATGAAAGAAATTCTTGTCAATAATGAATACTGCTTGACATTTCTTCATCTAATCAAAATCACAGATAATAGGATGGAAAAGGGAGAAAACCCAACTTAAGAAGCGAGAGTCGTTATGGCCATATCACGTTGAATGTTGTGTTCGCGTGTAATCAAAGGCGTTAAGCGTGGTCGAGCCTGGTCATTACCTAAATGGGTTACCACTTGAAAATACAAGGTTCTGTAACATTGGTTTGGTTTGTTTTACAGCATATCAACCTCAATGGCTTATTTAATGCCGATAAAATTTTTATTGATCGTAATATTTTGTTTTGTCAAAAATCTATTTCTGGTAATATTCTTTCTTTCAAACATGTATTGCTGGTATTTATTATCAAAAATGTATTGCTGTTTTTTTTTAATGTATTGCTGGCATTTTTTATTTATTTTTTTCAAAAATGTATTGCTGGTTGTTTTTTCAAAAATTTATTGATGGTATTATTTTTTTTCAAAAATGTATTGCTGGTATTTTTTCAAAAATGTATTGCTGGTATTTTTTTTCAAAAATGTATTGCTGGTATTATTTTTTAAAAATGTATTGCTAGAAATATTTATTTAAAAAAAAAAATTGTTGGTAATATTTTTTTTTCAATGTATTGCTGGTAATATTTTTTTTCAAAAATGTATTGCTAGTAGTATTTATTTTAAATAAAACATTGTTGGTAATATTTTTTAAATGTATTGCTGGTATTTTTTTATCAGAGAGTTATTACTGGTAATAATTTTTTACAAAGTATTTCTAGTATTAAAACCTATTTTTACACTTTTATAATGCTTTTTAGCTCAGTTTTGGGGTTAACTATTTACCCATAGCGGGGACCCTAACAGGTACTACCACACCGGGTCAGGGTGGATCTGGAAACACCAGCAATTAAGAGGTGGTTCCACGCTCCTCAAAACTTCCTGATCTTAGGCCTTGCTGCTGTACGTAATTTATTGTCTTACCCAGGACACGGATGTAGTTTATTGTCACACCCAGGACACGGACATAGTTTATCGTCACACCCAGAAAACGGATGTAGTTATTGTCACACTCAGGAGGCCGCTGTAACATTGGATGTGCTGTGGTGCAATAGATAAGAATCATTCCAATCAATAAATACTTTCTGGCTTTAAATAACCTGCAAAGGGTTGATAAGCCGTAGAAAACGAATCAATAAAATCCGGATTATCTGCACAGCATGTCTTTTAGTTTTATTTATACTCAGTGGAATATAAATAGATAGAAAATGTCGTGGCCACAAAGTGGGTGATCATTTTATATATTGATTGTAATATAATATTAATCCCCCACTTTATATCCGCATTATAATTTCTTGTTTATTATTTACATTATTCAGACTATAGACCTCATTTTTGTTGCGATATTTATCACAACGTTTCGGCCTTCTTCAGTTGGTTGGAATTTATTTCGCTCGCTGGGGTAGAGTGTTCTAGTTCCACGTGCTATGTCTAATGGATGTCAGTTAAAAGTCATCTCCTGTTTATTCCCCTCTCCAAATTGTCCACTGCCTTAGCCAGGTATTGAACTCAAACTCTTTGGGTCCTGTCACTGAATCTAACCAACGCCTTTATCCACTGTGCCATTTGTCCTTGAGGACACGTGGCACGCACAGTGGATAAAGGCAGTGAACAACTTGGAGAGGTGAATTAACAGGAGATAACAGATAACTGACATCCATTAGGTATGGCACGTGGAACTAGAACAGTCTACCCCAGTGAGCGAAATAAAAGGTTCAGTCCGACATCCCAAACACCTGAAGAAAGGCGGAGCGTACAACGGCCGAAACGTTGTCATAAATATGGTAACAAAGATGAGGACAATTGTCCGAATAATATAAATAGTGTACATAACAACTCATCTCAGAATTTTTTTTTTTTTTTTTTAAGCATTGTGCCCCAAGCAAGGATGCAGGGAGTTGCGGAAGATTTGGAGCGAGAGCAGATAAGAGTGATAGGAGAAAGGAAGAGGAGAAGGATAGTGGGTAGATCAAGGTAATTGGAGATGTCGATTGACAATACATTTGAATAGTTGGAGATTATAGCTTTCAGGAAACAGTAATTGGGAGGTGTTCCACTGGCGAGAGGTGCGAGGTATGAAGCTATTGGAGTAGAAGAGACGGCTACATTTGAAGGTTTCTACGGTGTAAGGGTGAGAGCGGGATGCCAGCCTCGTAGGGCGCTTGAATTCATGGAGTCTGGGAACCAGAGAGCAGCTTATCAGAGCAGTTACCATGGAAGTATTTGTAGAAAAGACAGAGAGAGGCGACGGCGCGTCTGTGAGAGAGTGACTGCAAACAAGACGCTAGATCAGGGCCAATTAGATTACATATCCGTCTCTGGATCTTGTCAAGAACTCCCAGCTAAGCAGAAGGTGCTCCAGCCCATATATGGCAGCAATACTCCATGCAAGGGCGAATGGTTGTTTTGTATATTTGAAGTATCGATTCAGGGGAGAAAAATTTCCTGGCGCGGCACAGAGAGCCAACTTTCCTCGCGGTTGAAGAAGCAATTGACTCAATGTATTTGTTCCATCTCAGGTCAGCAGTCAGCGTGAGACCGAGCAGACGCAGGGAGTTGCTCTCAGGAAGTTGACTATCAGACATTTAATGGGGCGCAAGGAAGGATCTCTATGGAGAGTAATTTAGTTTTTGTGGCGTTAAAGTTGACCAGCCAATTCTTGCCCCAGTTAACAACCGATTGGAGGTCCATTTCAAGACGCACGGACAGGTTAGTTTTGTCGCCGACACTAGATTTGTTTTTGAGGCAGGAGTAAATTGTAGTGTCGTCTGAATAGATGCCGACTTGGAAATCTATATAGACAAATTTCTTGTCTATTTAGAAAATTCCGATTAGGTATATATCCACCTCTTCTCCCCACAGCTATGGGTTGCAATCTCAAAATATTTTATGACAAAGGGTTGATAAACCGTAGAAAACGAATCAATCCAATCAATAAGAAGAGTGAAAAACAAAAGAACAAGATATGAGAAGGCAGAAAACGATATTCTCTTGTAGCTTTAATCCTTAAATCCTTAATCCTTAAATCCTTAATCCTTAAATCATTAATCCTTAAATCCTTTAATCCTGTGGAGAATAAGGCCACAACTTCACCACGAAAAGTGTTGCTACACTACAGGATTAGTACCATCTGAATCAATCCCTGGCTTGCGACAAGACCTCTGTTTTCGAGCAGAGGGTGACATGACCTCTGTCTTCCGGCAGAAGTTCAATCACTCAGGACTGTCTTCGAATAGAGACACGACTGAGAAAAACAGACAAGTAAAGTACCCGAGCCCGTTTTTCCGGGGCTAGGTAAAGTTGACCATTGTCCCGAATTAAAAACGCTCGCTTTCCCCACAGTAAACTTCAACTTCTCACGCATCTCAGTCTGGAGACTGGTAAATACTACTCGTATCGAAGTCAGCGAGTTCGCTTCTAGGCTCGCGACAGACAAAACCTCTGTCTCCTGACAGAGGGTGACAAAAAGCAAATGCCTTCGGGCAGAGGGTGACTAAAAGCAAATGCCTTCGGGCAGAGGGTGACTCAGTATTCTGTCTTCGGATAGAGATTCGGATGAGAGAAATTAATGTGCCGGAGCCCACTTTCCCGGGTACTGGATAAATTTTGATCAGTGTGGAAACGCCGAGTTTCCCCCAAATAATCCTGACCTTGTCACAACTCATCTCAGTAATGGGATCGAGTAGATACCAGTTGCATCGGAATCAGTCCCAGGCTCGCGACAATACAATACCACTGCCTTTGGCCAAAGGGTGACAAGACCTGTGTCTTCCGGCAGAGGGTGACTCACTCGAGGCTCTGTTTTCGGACAGAGACTCGGAAGAAAAAAAACTGACATGTTGGGGTCAGGCACTGCGCAGTCTGGCTTGCGTCTGACAAGTCCTTTTCTTCGGGCAGAGGGTGACTCAGTCGGAGTTTTTCTTCGCATAGAGACTCGGATGAGAAAAACAGAGAAGTAATATAGTAAAATTTGACCACTGACCTGGATGGAAACACCCGGTTTCCCCAGAGTAAACTTGAACATGTGTTGCACCTCGTCTCACTGAGACTGGGAAATATTAGTCACATCGGAGTCAGACAGTTTGCTTCCGGGATGGCGACAGAAAAGACCTATGTCTTTGGGCAGAGGATGACTCAGTCGGTGTTCTGTCTTCGGATAGAAATTTGGATAAGAATAAACAGACAAGTAAAGATTGAAAACGCTAAGGTTCGCCACATTATACCTGACCTTATGTCACAACTCATCTCATTAGTGGGACAGAGTAGATACCAGTCGCATCGGAGTCAGTCCCAGGCTCGCGGCAAGACAATACCTCTATCTCGCAAAGGTTGACTAGTCTGGGCTGAGAAAAACAGACAAGTAATGTACCCGAGAACACTTTCACGGCGCCTCGGTAAATTTTGGCCAATGGCCCGGGTGGAAATGCTTATTGGTGGGCGGGGGGTGGTATTGAGTAGATACCAGTATTGAAGCCAATCTTCATATTAATAATACAGGCTTATGGCAATAGCCTAAGGTTTAGCAATGGAAAGTCTAAGCAATGTTTGTTATGTAGTTTAGTCGCTTTTTCCTTCTGTCTCTCTTCTCATGTGAGTGTCAAATTATCCCAGTTCTCTTGCGCGTCCAACCAATTACAAATGAACCTTTGTGATTCTACGCAAAAGTGTTCCTTTTTATTCCGATTTTACATAAAACTTCCGCCTCGCTCAAAAATTCCATTTATGGTATTCTCAGCATCTTTCTGTAGAATCAGAATTCTGTTGTCTGAGGTCTCCCCTTTATCTGCAATGAAATTGTTCGGCATTCGTTTCTTTGTTTCTTGCAACATTTTCCTGTTTCTCAATAAGCTGTTTGGAAGATATATTTCGCTATTCCAAATGTATTTTTGAATTTTTTTTCTCCGTTGTCTGTTATAAGACTTTGCAGATGTTTAAATTTCAAAAATTGTTTGATTTTGACATCTCCAGTTCATAGGTCGCACCTTCGGCTGTCCCTTTTGATGAAACCAATTCATAGGTCGCACATTCGGCAGTGCCTTTTGCTGAAACCAGTTCATAGGTCGCACATTTGGCTGCCCATTTTGCTGAAGCCAGTTCATAGGTCGCACATTCGGCTGCGCCTTTTGCTGAAACCAGTTCATAGGTCGCACCTTCGGCTGCACTTTTTGCTGAAACCAGTTCATAGGTCGCACATTCGGCTGCCTCTTTTGCTGAAACCAGTTCATAGGTCGCACATTCGGCTCGCCATTTTGCAGAAACCAGTTCATAGGTCGCACATTCGGCTGCCCCTTTTGCTGAAACCAGTTCATAGGTCGCACATTCGGCTGCGCCTTTTGCTGAAATCAGTTCATAGGTCGCACATTTGGCTGCCCCTTTTGCTGAAGCCAGTTCATAGGTCGCACATTCGGCTGCGCCTTTTGCTGAAACCAGTTCATAGGTCGCACTTTCGGCTGCACTTTTTGCTGAAACCAGTTCATAGGTCGCACCTTCGGCTGCCCCTTTTGCTGAAACCAGTTCATAGGTCGCACATTCGGCTCGCCCTTTTGCTGAAACCAGTTCATAGGTCGCACCTTCGGCTGCCCCTTTTGTTGAAACCAGTTCATAGGTCACACATTCGGCTGCCCCGTTTGCTGAAACCAGTTCATAGGTTGCACATTCGGCTGCGCATTTGCTGTACCCAGTTCATATGTCGCACCTTCGGCTGCCCCTTTTGCTGGAACCAGCTCATAGGTCGCACCTTCGGCTGCCCCTTTTGCTGAAACTAGTTCATAGGTCGCACATTCCGTTGCCTCTTTTGCTGAAACCAGTTCATAAGTCGCACATTAGGCTACCTCTTTTGCTGAAACCACTTCATAGGTCGCACCTTCGGCTGCCCCTTTTGCTGAAACCAGTTCATAGGTCGCACATTCGGGTGCCTCTTTTGCTGAAACCAGTTCATAGGTCGCGCCTTCGGCTGCCCCTTTTGCTGAATCCAGTTCATAGGTCGCACATTCGGCTGCCTCTTTTGCTGAAACCAGTTCATAGGTCGCACATTCGGGTGCCTCTTTTGCTGAAACCAGTTCATAGGTCGCACCTTCGGCTGCCCCTTTTGCTGAAACCAGTTCATAGGTCGCACCTTCGGCTGCCCCTTTTGCTGAAACCCGTTCATAGGTCGCACATTCGACTGCGCCTTTTGCTGAAACCAGTTCATAGGTCGCACACTCGTCTGCGCCTTTTGCTGAAATCAGTTCAAAGGTCGCACATTTGGCTGCCCCTTTTGCTGAAGCCAGTTCATAGGTCACACATTCGGCTGCCTCTTTTGCTGAAACCAGTTCATAGGTCGCACCTTCGGCTGTCCCTTTTGCTGAAACAAGTACATAGGTCGCACATTCGGCTGCCTCTTTTGCTGAAACCAGTTCATAGGTCGCACCTTCGGCTGCCCCTTTTGCTGAAACCAGTTCATAGTTCGCACATTCGGCTGCGCCTTTTGCTGAAACCAGTTCATAGGTCGCACATTCGGCTGCCCCTTTTGATGAAACCAGTTCATAGGTCGCACATTCGGCTCGCCCTTTTGCTGAAACCAGTTCATAGGTCGCACATTCGGCTCGCCCTTTTGCTGAAACCAGTTCATAGGTCGCACATTCGGGTGCCTCTTTTGCTGAAACCAGTTCATAGGTTGCACCTTCAGCTGCCCCTTTTGCTGAAACCAGTTCATAGGTCGCACATTCGGCTGCCCATTTTGCTGAAACCATGCATTCTGTTTTTTTACAATGCTTAGTCCTTTATTCGCTCTTAACTCTATTACATTTACTAAGTGTTCCTGCAATTTGTTCCCTCATCTGGTCATCAAAAGGATATCACCCAGATACCTTATTTTGCAAAGACTGTGACTATCAATAATAAATCCTGGTAGGGCTTGTAGTTCTTTTAGAATCATCCCGGTTTAACGGTTAAAAACGCATCCTTGACACCACGTTCTATTTCGGTGCACCTTTGCTCAATTCGTTTTCTATACATGGGTTATTCCAATATATTGACTAAGTAAATTAAATTTTCCTTGCAAAATTCCCTCTGTCCATTTTTACAAATATTTTCATGGCAACTGCTCTGAGAATCTATTTACACCGGCGCCTTTTCTACATGAATTTAAGCGTTTACTAGTTTGACATCTAGGTCCCATTTTTTACAGTGAAAACTGTTACATGTAACCGCTTCTTATACTCCAAGAGATACTTCTCTCACACTTCCGGACAATGGAATTCCCTTCCTCTTATGTGCTCAGCTGATAATTTCAGTCAACAAAATTTAAATGCAACGTCAATCGTCAGCTTCTGATGACTTGAATTCTGCTCTTCTTTTTATCCTTTCTTCAATCCCCTCCTATACCCAGACTTTTCTCTAAATTTTACTCCCAGTAACCCGGCGCCTCTTGAGGCACTCCCGCCTTAATTGGGGTGATGCCATGCATGTTGTCGCACCCGTTCAGAAATATCTAAACTCTCAACTGTATACAACCGCTTCCTAAGATCAATGGTTTAAAAAGGCTTTGAACGAATGAAACGTGAGGGTCTTGGCAAAGATCATCATGTTCTTAAATATCTTCGTCAGATTGAGACTTTCAAATGGATGCCATACATGGTGCCAAACCCGTTCAGAAATATCTAAACTCTCAGCTGTATACAACCGCTTCCTAAGATCAATGGTTTAAAAAGGCTTTGAACGAGTGAAAGCTGTGGGTCTTGGCAAAGATCATCATGTTCTTAAATATCTTCGTCAGATTGAGACTTTCATATGTATGCCATACATGGTGCCAAACCCGTTCAGAAATATCTAAACTCTCAGCTGTATACAACCGCTTCCTAAGATCAATGATTTAAAAAGGCTTTGACCGAATGAAACGTGTGGGTCTTGGCAAAGATCATCATGTTCTTAAATACCTTCGTCAGATTGAGACTTTCATATGGATGTCATGCATGATGCCAAACCCGTTCAGAAATATCTAAACTCCTAACTGTATACAACCGCTTCCTAAGATCAATAGTTGTTATAAAATCCGTACAAGCTTGTACTTCTGCTTAATAATATTCCAAAGAATCCACGAGAGGAAAATTTTAGTGAAGATCTTTTTAATCATATTGATTAATCATAGGTAGAAAGCTAGCAAAGGAAAACAATTTCCATTCCCCTTTAAAATTTGGACCAAATGAGGAAAGATATTTTGGATAATTTGACACTCACAGAGCATATTGAAGGCAAGAGGAACGAAGGAAAACAGCAAGTAAACTATCTAAGGAGCCTTTGTTTATGGATGGTACAACAGGAATTGGGAGCGGTAGTCAATATGCGAACATTGTTAAGAGCTACTAAGGGTAGGAAGTTATGGAGAGCTATGATCGTCTTGAAGGGACGCAGCTCATAAAAAAGAAGTTGCATAATTAGTCTTTCCTTACTGACTCCATCGTGGCGTATATTTTTAAGTTTCTTCTTCTTCTTCTTCTTCTTCTTCTTCTTCTTCTTCTTCTTCTTCGTCTATGTGCTGTGTCCTTTCAGGTCTTTGACGATCATGTCCCTCCATACAAATCATAAAGTGAGAGTCGAAATTCGTAGGATACTAAATGAGGAAAGAAGGCTTAGAGAATTTGAGACTCACAGGGCATATTGAAGTCAAAACGAGCCAAAGGAAACAGCGCGTAACCTACCTAAGGATCGTGTGCATATGGATGGCCGGAGAGGGAATAAAAGTTAGTAGAAAAAGAAAAAAATGAACGAAGAAATTGCCAACACACATAATAATAATAATAATAATAATAATAATAATAATCTATAAATTCTTTAGGGGACTTTACAATATACACAGACAGAACAATCAAAGCTAATCACCCAGATATCCTGATCAAAACCACAAAAAACAAAATGTGCCTCCTTATTGACCTGGTAGTTCCTGCAGTTTGTAATGTATCGTTGAAGATCTTTAAAAAACTATCAAAATACAAATATCATTAAGTGGAGACCTGAAAAATGTGGCACATGAGGGCATCCATAATTCCATTTGCAGTTGAAACTCTTGGATTGTTTGGAAAAGGTTCCTATAAACTTATTGAACGGATCTCTGACAGCCAATGCCTTAAAGAAATAAAAAGTACCGTTTGCACATTACGAAGAGTTTTATCTTTGTAAAATATGTGTGATCTTAGGGTTTGTTTTTGTTTTTTTACAAAAATGATCATTGGAAAATGTCCTGAAGCAATTTCTGACCTTAGATCTCTGGTTGGGAGTCGGAAGGGAATGTGTATACAACATACATCCAAGGAAATAATAATAATAATAATAATAATAATAATAACATCATTATAATATATTGTCATAAAACACTAGATATTCAGGAAGTGTATGCTCATTGACACAGTCTGAGAGAAATACCTCGTTAACAATTATGGAGAAATTGTCCAAATACAAAGACCTAGAGATCGGGATTAACAGAATGTTGGGAATGGAGACTGCGACCGTAATCGGATCTCTGGGCCTCGTGAGAAAAGGAATGGACAGTTTTACTAACAATATCCCATGTAATATCAACATACAAGTTGCCCAGAAAATCGCCCTATTAGGAACATCCCATATTCTAAGAAAAGTGCTCTCAATTAAATGACAATTCTCCTATAGAATCTGTAGAGCCATACTTTTGACCCGGCTCTACAGGATACAAAGCACATAAAATACGCATTTAATAATAATAATAATAATAATAATAATAATATAGCGTAGAACTTTACAGTCGGATGACACTAGAAGGCGAACTGTAAAAACTGGTGGCTTGTGTTACATTTCAAATTTTTCTCTTGTTATTGAAAAAAAAGCAATTTCTTATGAGAAAATTAGGTTTGAAATTTCATCAGGCCAATTGCAATGTTTTAATAACTGTCATTCTCGTTAAGAATTTCAGATGAACGACTGAGTTTAAAAGCGTGATTAATATATATATATATATATATATATATATATATATATATATATATATATATATATATGTATGTGTGTGTGTGTATATATATATATATGTTAATATACATATATCATATATATATATATATGCGCGTGCGCATACACACACACACAAACACACACACACACACACACACACACACACATATATATATATATATATATATATATATATATATATATATATATGTGTGTGTGTGTGTGTGTGTGTATATATATATATATATGTTAATATACATATATCATATATATATATGCGCGCGTGCGCATACACACACACACAAACACACACACACACACACATATATATATATATATATATATATATATATATACGTGCATGCATACGCACACACACACACACACACATATATATATATATATATATATATATATATATATATATATATATATATATATATATATGCTAAGCGAGATAGTGTATAGTCACCAGAGAGGCAAAAAATGAACGCGAAGAATTGACAGTGATAGAAATAATTACAGAGAAAAACGCGAGAGAAAAAAAATCTTGTTTCTGAAGTTTAAATGACACAACTCGACCACCCGCAAATGTCTCATTAGATTTAAAGAATTTTGAGCGTTTCCAACTGACGTATCATACATATGGAAAAGAGAGGGAGGGAGATAGAAAGAGAGAGAGAGATCGTGGGAGTCCATCTACTTTCGGTGACAGCCACACGTTAATTAAATATTACTTTGTTCCTAATAAGCTGATATATTTTTTATAGGAAACCGTCAACTGAAGTTTACTGTTGCA